ATGTTTTATTAATATTTTTATTAAGGTCAAGTTTGGCTATTATAAAATAAGTCATTTTTTTTATTTTTTTTTTCATCATATCACCTCTTTATTTTTTTATATATCTTTTCATAAGAAGACAAAAAATATACTTATTCAGGTCATTCTAAACAATCTCTAAATATCTTATATGGATATAAAATTCACATAAAACTCACATAGTGTAAATTCTACACCCATATAAAATATTTAGTCAAAATATTGATAAAACATTTGAGTTTCCTAACATTTTTCCTTTATATTCAACTTATTAGGTGTAAAACTGTACTATATATGGTTAACTGCATCAAATTTTATAATGAAAAATGTTTGAGGGCCACAATTTTTATGGCTCAAATGACTCGAAATTGTCAAAACGATATCATTTTGGCAATTTCGAAGTTGTTTTGGACTCAAAAAGACGTCATTTTGAGCAATTTCGAGCCACAAAAATTGTGACCCTTAACCATTACTGTTTCATAATGCATATAGTTGTACAAGATGGACCCACTATGTAAATTATTCAGTATTGGTGGTTTTATCGTCTCTGATATTATTTGAAACAATACATATGGAGTTATTTGGGGTGTCCTAAATAAGTGTATTTTTTAATTTTTTTGACTAAAAAATTGAAGAAAAAAATATAAATATTTGGGTTAATTTTTTGACTTTTTATGAAAAAATATGTATTAAAATATTGTATAAATAAGTGTGTAGGAGAGATAATTAATGAATCGGTACAGTTGGGAGTGCCTCGGCTGAAAAAGGATATGGGAAAAGATTGCATACTTTTCGGCTTTTGATTGGACGGTGTTGTTCGGCCTGTGGGGGCCACCACGGGTCTTGTTTTTCTAATCAGAACTGTTCAATGTGTAGAACTCGTCGAGTACTATATTTTAGTAAAAAATCACATTCATTGGATATTGATAGCTATCTGATCGTGTTAGTCTTTTTTGTCACATATTAACTATAACATCATCCATTTTTAAAAAAAAAATTGACTTGATCATGTAGTTAACGATATCCAATAGACGTGAATTTTTTTTATGCATATAGTACTCGATGAGTTCTACACATTGAACAGTTCAGATTATCAAAACGGGACCTGTGGTGGGTCTTCACGGGCCCAACAACACGGTCCAATTTAATCTTGGACTGGACCAAAGCTACTTCCTTACACAAATATTTATTTCTAATAAATGAAAAATGTACGTGTTAGGTTAAAAAAATAAATGGACATATTTGTGAGTAATTGATGCTCCTTCGTTCCAAAATAATGATTTTTTTTTTTGGAGAATTTAATTTTTTTTTTATAGTACAACTATTGCATTTTAAAAAAATTAATTTTTCAAAATTACCCTTTGATAGCATATTTTCCAGAAAATATTAATGTTATAATTGTACTTTTTATGTTATTAATGAATTTAAAAGAAAAGCAAAATGAGAAATTTATATTATTTTTGTACTTGATTTTTGAAAAGAGATTAATATTTTGAGACAATGAAAAATGAAATAAAAGACTAATATTTTGAGACGGAGGGAGTATATTAATTAGTGTACCAACTAATGTCATGATATTATTATTTACTCCACTCATTATTGAAATTACAAATACAAAAAATCTCTAAAATTTGTACTAATCATTTATTAGTGCACTAATTAATATACGACTTTCTTCTGTTAGCAGTATTGGATTGTAAGATAGTTCACTTATAATTTTTAAAAATTAACACTTTCCCAAAAATGACAAATTTCTTTGAAATTTGACTTTTACCTGAACAAACTTCGAATTAAATTAAATTAGAAAGTTTGGTCTACATTTAAAATGTAATTAAAAAATGTAGTAATTACTAAAAATTGCAAAATTTATACACATTTCAATTGTCATTACACAAATTATACATTGAAATGAAATTATTAGTGAACATGCCTACAACTTTGTACGAACTAGGTTGCATGACAAATTCGTACGGAATGTCACTGTTACCGTACAAAAATTAAAAGTTAACTTATCAAGTTGGCATATTTGTCCGAAATATGACTCTGAATTTTTTAATAATTACGAATGCAAATAACATGTAAGTACCCAAATACTGCAAAAAAATTTCAATATACTAATTACGACGCATAAAAAAAAATTGCAATTTCTTTTATGAAATTTGACTTTGCATCAAATTTCGAATTTTCAGTAGCTTCGCAGTGTAAAGAAATTTGAATTTGAATTAAAAAAAATAAGAATTTGAAATAACGGCAACTGTGTACCAAACGTAAATTTTAGTTCATAAATGTACGAGTTCAAGTAAATTACAAATGTGATAGAAACTTGATTCACAAATATAAAAATTACAAAATACAAACATTTGCAAGTTTGTTACACACTTGACTTCCCATTCCAAATTTGACGCATTTACATACAAATTGGAATTCTATACAAAATATGCGTTTTACTTATACAAATTAGGAATTACAGTAACATAAAACAATAGCACAATATTATTCCCTATAATTTAAGTCCGTAACGATTTGTTACAGTTTTTGCAACAAATGTGCGTCCACAATTAAAAGTCACGCTATGTGTCTCAAACTATGACATCATACAACCAATTCAAAATAGAAAACAATTATTTCACAATAGTCCTTGATTCTGTATGTGAAACAAATAGTCGCAGATGCGAACACAAACTCTCCCCATATCCACTTCGTATCTCCAACCATGAGGCCATTGTCCATATTTCCCCTTCCGTCTTCCGCTGTGGGCATGTCATCCAAAACTGACGAACATCTGACATGTTCGTTGTGGGCATTAGCAGCTATCTCGTGTCTATGAATGAAATTGTGTAACGCCATTGACGCACCAACCAATGGCCTACATCGACATAAAGTCATAGTCCGACATGTTTTTCAGGAACTTCCACCGCGATTTCTACTCTCCAAAAGTCCTTTCCACCACACTTCTCAATGACACGTGCACTCGTTAAATAATTCTTTTGCGTTATCGGGTTGTCCATGTTTCCGAAACTATGCTTGGTGATACCGTGACCCTTTAAATGGTGCCAAATACCCCTTAATGTTTAGATATCCCGCATTCAAAAGGTAACATTTTCCTATATTTGTTAAATCAAGTTTACATACAAAAGATAAAATTATTAACTAGTACTCAATTTGAAATGTGTTGCCTTCTTGTGGATGCGGGAACAGTGCATGTTCGTTTTCAATTATTTCTTTGAAGATGCAACTGTTATGCATTCTTCCTTCCTAGCCACAAGATATGAAAATAAAGCACATGTCGAAGTTGCATATTGCTAGTATGCTTTGGGTTGGATACCCTTTGCGATTGTAATATGTGCCTGCGTCACGGGCATACAACACGGCTTGTACGTAAGTTTCATCTAACGCACCAATACGATGCTTCCAAAGTTCAGTACAAAACACACAAGGGTAATACATACCACATAACTGAATTTAAACTAGTAGCAATAACTGAAGTGCTAACCTTGAATGGTACGTATTTGCCTCTGGACCGCAAATATGGATGCATACTATTTTGATCTCTAGTGGGCTTACAATGCTCTTCTGTGAACAATTTCATTGCGTCCAACATTGCATGGAAATGTCGCGACCCGAGTGTTAGAAACATTCCTGTATGTTTCGATTAGTGTAGCCGCCCAACGTATGGATGAACATTGCAACACTTTCTTTAATGTATAATCCATGAGATCTTCTAGGTACTCATAAACTGAATTCGCTTCGTAATGTATCACACAACGCTTGAAACACATACAGCGGCACATGCAAATTTTGTTCACATCTACCTAAGTGAACATCAAATAATTCTTGAATCCACGCATGACTGGTCAAAATAAAAGTTCGACATGGGATCTTCTCTATGTACTTCACGTAATATTCCATTGCATGTTGCACTGTTTCAATGATTACGCTGTTTTGTAGGTTTTTGTGTTCTTCAGTGATTTCGATTATGTCATTGTCATCATTTTGATGGTTGCTACATTGGCCTTTCCATATGTCTCAATTGTTGCAGTCTACAATGCACACAACACACACATCAATCGTGAAGAACTAAACCGAGCACAAGCAAAAGACAACAAAGAAAAAAAATTACGACACTCATGCATACATCCACATTAGTACAAAAGAGACTAATCAATTCCATAAAGTTCAACCATTACATGTGATATTTGTGAACATACAGCAAAAACCATGATTCCATAATGCTTAAAGAGATTAGTTGGTAGCGTTCTCATGCATTCAACCATAACACAAAAGTGAACTAGCAGTAATTAAAACGAAGTTCAAAAAAAAAAAAAAAACATAACAACACTACGAGTCCACAAAAACCACACTATAGCAAACCATTTTCGGTCCCATTTTCCTCGAACGAACCAAACCAACTACTCACAGCCCTTTTGAAGCCTTCAATGCAGCAAGCCACCCTGACCACCTTCTCGTCATCTAGCATGCACATCAGTATCTCTTGATAACCCGAGTTCTCTAACGCAATGCAGGCAAAATGTATAGGGGTGTATTGATGAAGTCGGGTACAGCCATAATCCTCTGCATACATGCCTCAATGCCATGCTTTTGCGATGCACCAGTTCCGTGCCTCAATGTGAGGTGCTTCTGTGATCGAATTGCTTAAGAGAGATGGTTAAAACTGTTCACAAGAACTGATGCTCCACTGGAGATCTTCTTCAACTTTTTACTTGTACTACCCCTTTCTTCCTCTTTACTCCATGGTCTGCCTCATCAACATGTACGGTGGGGGAGTGTGGAGGTGAGTTGAAGACTTGTTTGTATAGCTCAGTAAATGGATGCAACCCAGGATAATCCACTAAATCGGATTCACTGTTGCCAACGTCTGCAGCCTGCTCCCCGGGGGTCCAATGATGTTTCCCAGTTGCATTTGCACCTGTGAATACTTCGAGCATCAAATCTTTGTGCTCTAGTGGTTTGGTCTTGAATTTCTAGGCGATCTTGGTTGTCTGCAAATGAAAATGAGAAAAAAAAAATTAATGAAAACTGAGAACAACAAAGTAATGACATTAGTAACGTAATTTGATTAACAATAACATGGGACAATCAATTAACAATTTACTAACAAGTGAAATATATAATATGTACAATTAAATTTAACTTGTCACATACCGATTTTAGCGTTTCCCACCACTCTTCTGATGCTGTGAACAACCCAGTTTCCCTGTCAAACCCAATACCGGTGACACCCTTACTGCTATCCATTAACTTGTTCCAAGCCTGCCATTCCTTTTTCAAACCAAGGTACTTGTTCTTCAATTGTTTCATTTCATGACGTCTACCCATTCGCTTAGCGAATTTCAGTGCAATTTCCTTATACCCTACTATGGTGATGGTTGTACCTACCCTACGTCATGCTGAGATTTCATCTCTAACACACTCTAAGAAGATTTCTGTGGATGCACTATCCTATGTTGCTTTATGTGCATGTTCCAAGTCATGAACAAATCCTTCTGGGCCTGATGGGCAAACCACCCCTTTATTTTTAGATGGTGTACGCGGGGATGACTGTGTTGCAACCATTACACTAATATAAGAGCAGGTATTTTAGACATTAGCATGCAGTTGCCGAATACATGTTGACAATAAACTCGAAACCAATACGTTTTACGAAATAAAATAGAAATAACGTATAACAAAACTACTATGATAATTACTAACAAAAGGTAACGTTTACATAACACGATGACAATGCATGTACTTGTTACACACACAACTTACGTACAAGGGTAATAAATAAATGTTATAGCAACGGAGTGTACATACACAATAATAATATGATAACCACGATGCACAACACACAAATCACTGTTTTCATTACACGCAAAATATTACAAATTTGGGAGACATACCCCGACTAAAAAAAATTAATAGCTAAATATTGTACTTTTGCAAGAAAGTTTACTTAGAATTTTATCTAGTAACAATAATAAAGTTTTTAAATTTACTCTATACATAAATTTCACAATACATCAATTAAATCATTTACACACTGCTTTTTCTTCGCAACTTTCCTTACCCAAGAGTTTCTGTTATACATAAGACAACATTGAAATAAAAAAAATAAACCAAAGTTGTCAACATGGTTTATGTCATGGGATTTTCTAATCATTTTGTCTATATGAATATATATATTTATATATGTAAGATTAACTTGACAATGGCAATTGATCAGAATACCCGTGAGGGTCTTTATCACACGAGAATATCGATTATCCGAAAGTTAGAAAATAGAAAATCTTCTGGTTTTTATTCAATAAATTCCAATCCTGCTGTTATGCATTTATATACACAATAAGTGACCTTTGGGAATAGGCATACAATTTGAATTTGTTTCATATAGCAACAGTCACCATGTTTTACTGAAAGATGTGCCTATAGATGTTTGAATTCAAACCATTAACTAACTAATAGATGGCTTCAATATTCTCGCGGGAATTTTTTTTACAATTCAAGAGAGAAATGATTGAGTGAAGTGAATCACACCAAATTATGGTGTGGTCACTCTTTATTCTATCATCTCCTACTTGAACACACCATAATAAGATGATAAACCTAAGCTGAGCATTTTTAACCTCATGCCAACTTTCATCTACAAATTTACCTCATAGATCGACGCCAGATTGTGACTTGGCTATACGTGCGCGCGTTTTTGCCACTAATCTAACCGCACTGGTACGAATGTATTCTCCCACTGACAACACATTCCAGATGACTTCAATTCACTATATTTCAAATGAACGACATCAATTTTTAGTGCTGGGTTCATAGTCCATACCCAATCACCATTGACGACTTCAGCCGCACACATTCTTCATGTGTCAACCTGCGCCGAAAGTTTTGTTAAGTACTTCCTCCAAGGCCCATTCCTGAAGGTTTTCCTTAACATACCTTATCAACGACTTTTTGTTGATCAAGCAGACAACATCGTTTAGTCAACACGTTGCATATCATGGACTTCACATCTCATGCTAACTATGATGCCCGTACCTTGTCAGTTCCTTTATCTTATTACCTGACCAAACACATGTTTCCAAGCAAGATAGATTCGTAAAACATTGGTTATCTAGGCGTCCCTAGAGTCATCCAACTATGCTCTTATATAAGTAGCTAAACCACCTATTCTCTGAATTTTTCTAGAGACAACCCTTTGGTCATAGGGTCGGCCACCATCTTTTCTGAGGATATATAGTTGACTTTAATTTCACCTCTCTCCACTATGTCCTAAATACAGTGGTAACTTACATCAATATGTTTTCCCTTAGAGCTATTCGCTCCACTTTTTATTAATGAGATGGCGGGCTAATTGTCACAAAACATATTGACCGGTCTAGCAGATATACCTAATTGTAAACTATCATCAAAACGTTATATCCAGACCGCATTACTCACGACTGTGCTGCAAGCTATGTATTCAGCTTCCATAGTATACTTTGCAACACAACTCTGTTTCTTACTTAACCAAGAAACTGTTGTTCCACCAAACAAGAACACATGACCACTAGTAGATTTTCTATTATTTACATCTCCTGCAAAATCCGCGTCAGTGTATTCTTTTATGTCTAGATCACACAAATCAAAACATAATTTCAAATTCTTAGTGCCTTTTAAATATCTAAATATTCTTTTGACTGCTTGCCAATGTTCCGTACTTGGATTGGATTGAAACCTACTTACCAATCCGACTGCATGACAGATGTCTGGTCTTGTGCTTGTCATAGCATACATTAGGCTGCCTACTACCTGAGCATATGGGAGATTTCTCATTTCCTCAATGTCAGACTTAGTTTGAGGACTCATACTTTTACTAAGACTTTGTCCTTTGCAACAGGCGTGCTTAAAGAATTACAGTTATCCATATTAAATCTTTTGAGCACATTGTCAAGATATTTCTCTTGATCTAGATATAATAATTTTGAATTTCTATCTCTTGAAATTCTAATTCCTAGAACATAGGTCGCAAGACCCATGTCTTTCATTTCAAATCTAGATGCCAAGAAAGTTTTGGTTTTTATAATCATATCTAGACAATTTCTTGCTAACAATATATCATCCACGTATAAAGACAATATTGCTAACTTGTCATCATTTTTTCAGATATAAACACAGTGATCTAATGGACTCACAACATAATCCATTTCTAAAATGGCTTGGTGAAATTTCAAGTACCATTGTCTTGAAGATTGTTTAAGTCCATATAGAGATTTCTTCAACTTGTACACTTTATCCTCGTTACCTAGGTTCTGGAAACCATCAGGTTGCATCATATAAATTTTCTCTTTTAATTCTCCATTGAGAAAAGCTGTTTTAACATCTAATTGATGCAATTCCAAATCCATCCTGGCTACTACCGCCATTAGAATTCTTATTGAGGCAAATTTTGCAACAGGAGAATATGTATCTACGAAGTCTATTCCATGTTATTGAGTGAATCCCTTGGCTACTAACCTGGCCTTGTATTTCTCTAAACTTCCATCTACTTTGAATTTATTTCTAAGAACCCATTTGCAATCAATGGCTTTTCTTCCATGCGAGAGATCGGTTAATTCCCAAACATCATTTTTCTTGATCGAGTCAAGTTCTTCATTCATTGCCTCAAGCCATTGTGTAGCATCACTGTTACTTATTGCTTCATTATAACTAGTAGGATCATCTACTAAGTTATTAAGTTCTTCAACTTGAAAAACATAATGATCTTTCAAAAACGTAGATGGATGTTTTGCTCTCTTACTCTCACTTATCTTAGGATTTGAAGTAGGTAAAACAACGTTATGTAATTGTCGTTTCCTCCCACTATTAGATGGTTGGAGAATTGGTGGATTGGGTGTCAAAGAAAGAAGAGAAAAATCCTGAGATACATAGGACTGCAATTCAATTTGTTCAATAGGAGTAACAAGATCAGTAGATTCAAGAAAAATAGCATCTCTACTTTCTATTAATCCACGTTCTAGATGGTAAAAACGATAACCACTACTATTTTCGACAAAACCAATAAACTTGCTATAGCGATCCCGATTTTCCCTTTTCTTTTTTTTTTTTATCCCGGACTCGGTTTCGTGGTTGATGGTTGTTGTCTGTGTTGCATTTCCATCCTTTAACTCTTAGTAAGTGAGTTTAGAAATGTTTTGGGCGTGTTTTGAACAGGTTGGTTGAGCTTTGGTCTCTAGTGTTGTTGCCCAGGTTTTAGGTGATCCGCTCGAGTGGGTCCCTTTGCGCTCAAGCGGAGTCCGCATATTTTCAGTATCTTGTGCGTCTGCAAAACTACTACAGATGTGTTTTTCATGCTCGAGCAGATTTCCTTACGCTCGAGCGGGTATCTTGGCACACGAGCGGGTGTTCGAACTCTGTAAAAATGCTGGATGAGTGTAATCTACGCTCGAGCGGCTCTTCTTTTGTGCTCGAGCGGGTGTGTTTTATTTTTGTGTCTTGGCGCTCGAGCGGGTCTTTTTGCGCTCGAGCGGGTTCAGTTTTTTGTGTTTAACGCTCGAGCGTCCTATTCTCCGCTCGAACGGGTTATATGTATATCAGATCTGGACTGTGATATTTTAAATCACTTTTTACACACTCTCTCTCTCTCTCCTACTTTTCAAAACCCTATTTTGAGAGCCTCTCTCTCTAGAATACAACTTCTCTCTAGAGATTGATCTAGTTCTTGGGTGTTCCTACCCTCATCTCTTTGTAAGAAAGTTGGAGGGTTACGTGGGCTTCATTTTGATCCGAAAAACTTAGGAATTGGAGCACTTCCAAATTTGTTTTTTTTCTCCTTGGGTTCTCCATTTGAGGTAGGGATTTCCTTATTCTTTTACAATGCTTCGTCTATAGATAGACATGTGGTAGTTTTGTATTGCATGAAAATTATATCCATGTTGGGCTTGTTTGAAAATCATGGGCGTGAACCTAGGGTTGGTTGATTGAAAAAGGGTTTGTTATCATTGATGGTGATTTGGACTAATTGGGGTGTAAATTAGTATAATATTGTTGAAAGAAGAAAAAGCCCTAATTTATATTTGATTTGGTAAACTAAAAGAGGGGTTTTGTACTTTGGGCCAATACGTATGTATTTTGGGTCTCAAATGAGATTATTGTTGTTTGTTGTTGGTACTTGAGCCTATTGGGTCAATATTGAGAAAGAGGGAGAAAAGCCCTAATTTACTGTTATGAATTAATTTGCATAATTGATTTGGAAAATTATGAAAAAATGAAATTGTTTTTATGAAATGAGAGGAATGATATTGGTTTTGTGAAATGGGAAAAGTGTTCTTGGAATAAGTGGCGGAACAAGTCGATTTTGAAAATGGAAAATGAATTTGGGAATTGGAATATTGTATCTTGAGTATTGAATACGCACTTTTGGGGTTTTACCTTTACTTATCATCTTAGTGTTGTTGTTGGGTTTAAGATCTCATGAGAGTTGAGTCTTTATAATAGATGTACTAAAATCATGCATCTAGAGGTTTTGTCCTTGGTCATCGGTGGAGGATGACATGGTTGTGTTGAATTGTCGTGTATGTATTACACCTGTGTTGATTGAACATTGTATGTAATGAAGTGCTATGATACATTATATATATATAATTGTTAGGGAAGAGAAATGGGATGTACTCCAGTGTGTGGGAGGAGATAGGGGATGTACTCCACACATACTTATGTGTTCATATACTTTAACACATTGCTTATGTATCTTGATAGTTTGTGTGTATGTATTACACTTGTTGGTTATACTCTGTTGTATTGTGATTCTTGGTGTTATACCCTGCGCTTATAATCATAGGTACCGTTACCTTCCAGCTAGTGTCTGGAGAACTGACTGCGCTGAGAATCTAAGGTACCACACCCTTCCAGCTAGCGCCTGGTAAAATGGCATACCATTGTGAGAGTTGTATCTTTGGCTTACTGTGCATATAGTCAGTAGAGCAGGGTTTTATTGTTTTGTTTCAGTGTATCTGAATATATCATGGATTGTGATGGTTACAGTTTTGGAGGGCTGAGTTGCCTCATTTGTTGATTCTATACATGTTGATGATTTGTTATCTACCTTATATTGAAGGCATGCATGTATAGTTATGGATGTATAAACGAAAATGCCATTGTGAGATTTTGGGAAAGTGTGAAGGAAAGTTGGGTATTTGAAAGTATGTTTTGAAAAAGGGAACATTCGTGTAAGTATGGAAAATGGGAGAAAGATAATGGGCTTAGAGAAATTGATTTCCTAAGAAGTTGTTATTGTTGTGAAAGTTTGGGAACAAGGGTTAATGAAATGAAATGAAAGATGAATCGCTTATAGCGCTGAATGGATTGACTGTTTTGAGAAAAACTTATACTTATGTATACTTTTGTATAAACTGCCACACTATTTTTCTAGTACGAGATTGAGCATTCATGATCATAGTTATCTGTAAGTTGTTATTGTTGAGGATCATGTAGAGATCCTTACTGGACTATATGTTCGTTCCATGTTGTTGAATCTTTTTCAGGTATTAAGCAGGATGTGTTACAAGATGTGGACCTTCTTACTTGTTGGCCGCGGGGCCTCTTTCGTGTTGGCGGAATGCCATATGTGTAAAAGGGTTACATCCTTCTTTTGATTCTTTAATGATGTAAGCCTTCGGGCATTTTATTTAGTATGCTCATGTTGTATTTAATTTGCATTCGGATAAGAGAATTGTTATTTATTTCTACTCATGGGACTAAAGAGTTTATTTCTTTGAGATTTTGAACATTAGGTTTAGTTCCATGCCAGCATTCGTAAGGAGTTAGAGGTTTGGCTTTTGTTTCAACTCTATTTAAGATGTACGCAGCGGTGGACAAGGCTTCCCCCCAAAAAATGAATAGGAAGATCAGCATGAGCTATCATAGACCTTGTCATTTCCATGAGAGTATGATTTCATCTTTTTGTGACCTCATTTTGTTGTGGTGTGTATGGCATTGTAAACAAATGTTTTAAGCCATTGTCTTTGTAGAAAGAATCTATAGCTTCATATTTACCACTTCCATCATTATTCAAGTGTGTAATGAACCGACCAAGTTGCTTTTCTACCTCTAATTTATATTCCTTAAGCTTTTCAATTGTCTCTGATTTGTGTTTAAGAAGGTAGATATGTCCATATCTTGAATAATTATCAATGAAAGTAATAAAGTATTCCATGCCTCGATGAGTTTTAGTTCTTAAAGGGCCACAAATGTTCGAATGAATTATTTCAAGTAATTACGATGATTTCCAATGTTTGAAAAATGGCTTACTAGTCATTTTGCCTTTGATACATGGTTCATATATATCAAAATCATAGGAACATACTTTAGGCAATAAGCCACTTTTAAACATTCGAGACATTTTATTTTTATTAATGTGACCTAACCTTAAATGTCACAAATAAGAACTATTACTAGTAGAAACATGCAAATAATCAGAAATACATACTTTATTATTATCAATAGGAAGAAAGTACATGTCATTCACTCTCACACCTTTCATTAATACACTTTCTTTCTTAATCAATACTGTGTTAAACCTAAAATTAATCTCAAAACCCTTTTGGGTTAACACTGAAATTGAAATTAAATTTCGGCGAATGCTGGGTACATAAAGCACATTATGAAGCACATCATGAAGCACAATGGAAGTTTCATTAATAGAGAATTGACAGTTGCCGATGCCCAAAACATCACTATAGGAGTTGTTGCCCATGTAGATTTTGTGTTCACCAACCTTCTTTTCAGTAAACTCCACGAACATGTCTTTATTTTGCACAATATGCCTAGTTACAACAGAATCATTCCACCATGAATTTGATGAAGGTTCAAGCACCATTGCTTCAGAAACTGTCATGGCAATAGGATTATGATCCTTTTTCTGCTTCTTCTGAGGACAAGTGGCTTTGATATGACTTTTTTGACCGCACTTGTAACATGGACTAATCTGATCCTTGTGGTGTTGCTGTTTTTGCCATTCTTGCTATTTCTTTCATCCTTTCTGAAACCCCTTCTTCCATTTTCTCTTAAATGAAGTCGTCTTTTTCTTGTTGAATGGTGTGTGAAAATTATTCTGTGGTTGGGACGAAGACTGTGCCATTAACAAGTTAGAAGACAAACCTTCTTTACGTCTTCGCTTCATTCTTTCTTCTTCCAACACTAAGAGTACAGGCAATGTCACCATTGAAATCTCTCGTTCGCTATGAGTTAAAGGTGTGACAACATGATCCCAAGATAATAGAAGACTATTAAGTATGGTAGTTACTTGCATCTTGTCCGACAAAGGGTGATCAACATTGGATAATTCTTTAGCCATTAATTCCATTTGATTAGCATAATCACCAACACTATCATTATCACTCATACGAGTATTGTTATATTTGTCCAAGAGCAATTGAATTTGAGTGTCCGATCGAACTCCATACTTACTTTCTAGTGCTTCTATTAATAGTTTTGCAGTTTCATGTTCTTCAAAAAGCGGAATAATATTATCTTTCATATTATGTAACATAGTTGCATTGCATTATCTTCCATCCACTTATTTTGAAACTAATTAGAATCATCATCTAGTTTATAAGTAGATAGAGTGTGCAATGTTTTTTCATGTGTAAGAAGATAAGAAATGTAGCGTTTCCATGCTCAGAAATTATTTCCGTTAAGTATCTCAATTCTTGAAGAATCCATGGCATTTTTAATAGCCATACTAAAGACAAAATGTGTTACAATAAAAAATTCAAATGTGGATATTACAAACTAAAATAAACAAATAAGCAAAATTAAATACAACAAGAAGTCTTAATAAGAATAAGCTTTGCAGTTGTTGCGTCGGTCCCTGTGATAAGCAAAAACTTGATCGTCTTGCCTTGGGTAAAAAGAATGATGAAAACCCAATGGACTATTAAACCCAATACTTTGCTTATGAGTATTGTAAAAATAGTTACGAGCCCAAGGGGTGCTTATTAAATATTTTTCCTTTGGACGTTTTACTGTGTAACACCCTTGGATAGCCTCATTGCCTAATTATTTCTTCCAGAAATTTAGTACAATTACCCACGAAAAAATTCTTAGAAGAATTCTGGAAATTTTGGCCTTTGAATGGCTGAAAACGGCCCTGAAATGAGCGAAAACAAGCCAAAAAACTATTTGGACCAGGCTGCTACAGTCCAAGCGCTGGGCTGAACCGATTTGGGCCGGCTGGGGCTGAACTAGCTGGTCAAGGCGCGGACTTGGGCTGAAATATGGGTCAGCGCACTGGGCAGTTGGGCGCGGGTCGCGTGGGACTAGACTGGCACACGGGTCTGCGCACTAGGCTGGCTGTGTCGCTGGCCTGGGCTACGCCTCTGGCTCTGGGCTAATGGGCTCTGCTTGCGGCTCAGGGCTTCTGGGCTGTGCTTGGCTGGTTTGGGCTCCTACCAAAATTGGCCCAATTGGTTTCTTTTTAATTCTTAGGCCCAAGGGAACAGATTTTCTTGCTGTAATTTTTATTTTTGGGCCTTTCCTCTTTGTTTTTGAATTTAGCCCAATAGAAGGTATGTTCAACACAGTTGTTCCAACGGAATTATTCTGATATTCTTCTCCGGCAAATGGAATCAGAGACCACAAACTGTAAATTGAACTTTGTGGGTCAATTTTTCTCCCTTTTTCAGAACGAATTTCACAGTTATGATCAAAATTCTAAGAAGAACAACATGGTGCCAATTTGGAGACGCAATTTGAACCGAAAAATATTTTATAAAATTGCTTCCAATGGCACAATTCAGTCTCACTTTCGACAAGGTTTGGAACAATAGCACCACCAACAGTTATTTTCTTCGGATAGTTTTCTGGAAATACAACACGTTGGTGATGATTAAATAAACAAACAGAATTCACCAATGCCGAAGATTGACGGTCAATGATTTTTTGAATTTTCGATAAAAAGAGTTCAGAAACTTTCCGTTCTTCCGGACTATATTTCGACATCTGCGATAATGTGTAAATTGGCTCTGATACCACTGTAAGATTAACTTGACAACGACAATTGATCGAAATACCGGTGAGGGTGTTTATCACGCGAGAATATCTATTATCCGAAAGTTAGAAAATAGAAAATCTTATGGTTTTCATTCAATAAATTCCAATCCTGCTGTTATGCATTTATATACACAATAAGTGACTTTTGGGAATAGGCATATAATTTGAATTTGTTTCATATAGCAACAGTCACCATGGTTCACTAAAAGATGTGTCTATAGATGTTTGAATTCAAACCATTAACTAACTAACAGATGGCTTCAATATTCTCGCGGGAAGGTTCTTTACAATTCAAGAGACAAATGATTGAGTGAAGTGCATCACACCAAATTATGGTGTGGTCAGTCTTTATTCTATCAATATATATAGATATATATATATTTATGCATGTATGCATGAAAGCAGTAACCTTCAAAAGTTTTGGTGAAAGTGGTAACAAGTTTTATAATTTGGCCTCCACATAATAGATAAAAATTCATGCACCTCTTGGCAACTTGCTTTTGAATTTAATTCATCATCATCTGCATTCAATTTATGTCACAATTTATGACTCCCAACTATCATAGTACACTCACTATTGGAACTTTATGCAACTTGCTTAAATAGTTCTTTGAATTTGATTCATCATCATCTGCATTCAATTTATGTCACAATATATGACTCCCAACTATCATAGTACACTCACTATTTTTACTCTGTTTTATTTGGAACTTTATGAGTTTTTCTTGAAAGAAAAATACTAGGGATAACAAGAGTTTTACCAATATTTTTATTAAATATCTCATATGAGTGTAAGACCTACATCCATTTGACACATTTAGTAAAAATGTTGATAATTTTCTTAGTGTCTCTAGCATTGCTATTCTTGAAATGTATGTATTAAATTCCAATCCAAATGTAGTTTTTTTGCTTCTTTTTTTTTTTTAAATAATAATTGGGAGATTGGTTCCAACTCTCTACTAGAAAGCTGAGATAGCAATATCTTTTGATTGCTCCCATTAACTGCACTTTTGAGATCAAAATGACAATACAACTGCTTAACTAAAACTTACTGATCACCCTTCCTAACATAATCACACAATGAATTCCACAAGAACCATCAGTTGAAAATTCGAAAAACACCCATCGACTTCTCATTAGGGTACTTAATTACACAAAGCATAGTCCTGATTAGAATTTTGTGCTCATTAGGGTAATTAATTTGATGAAATTAAAACATTGACATTCACTCCACAGTAGCTCCCATATTATCACTGGGTCTAAAACACAGTTTATAACCTCCTAAGTTTAATCTAGAAGGATCAAAATTAGAAATTTGCTTTTTTAAAACTATATTGAGCACCAAATATTTCTTCCTATGAAACTTAAACTTATAGCAAACACTACAAGAAAAAGCACATTTGGCGACTAAAAAATCACATTTGGTCGTTGAAAGTATAGGTTTTGGTGACTAAAAATGCATTAGTAGCCAAAAGTAAAGATTTTTGGCGACTAAAAAAATTCAGTAGCCAAAAGTATAGGTTTTGGCGACTAAAAATCTGTTTGGTCGCCGATATGGCTTTTACCGACTGCAAAAATTGTAGTAGCCAAAAGTAAGGCCTTTTGGCGACTAAAAAAAATTTAGTAGCCAAAACTGAGGCATTCGGCAACTAAAAATCTGTTTGGTCGCCAAAGGTGAGGCTTTTACTGACTAAAAAAATTTTAGTAGCCAAAAGTAAGGCCCTTTGGCGACTAAAAAAAAATTAGTGGCCAAAAGTGAAGCATTCGGCGACTAAAAACATGTTTAGTAGCCAAAAGTGAGGCATTTTGGCGACTAAAAAGAAGTTCAGTCGCGAAAAGTGGTAATTTTAGCGCGGGAATTTTTTTTTAACGACTAAAAAATAATTAATAGCCAAAAGTATAGAATTGGCGACTAAAATTATGTTTAGTCGCCAAAAGTGGTCTCTTTTTTTTTTTCTACTAAATAATTTATTTTTACATAAATTATGTTGAATAAAAAATAATTTTGTTTATATATATACTTTTATATTAATACGGGTCTAAGTATATATAAATAATATATGTTGCATATATAATCATATGGTGTTATGGAGGCGTAGTGGAAAGAGTGTGTTGTATAAGGTTTATGGTGTGGGAGGTTGATGGTTTGAATCTCCACAAGAGCAGAGTGTAAATTTTTTTTTCCACGAATGAGCTTTTGGCGACTGAAAGGTTTGGTCGCCGATTCCTTGAGTATTGGCGACTGAAACATTAGTCGGTAAATGTATAATTTTAAAAAATATAATTGACTATTGGCGATTAAAAAATTGGTCGGTAAATGTATAATTTAAAAAATATAATTGACTATTGGCGACCAAAGTTTTGGTCACTAAAGACTTTATGTTTTGCGACAAAAAGTTTTGTAGTCGCCAATACCTTTCCCGACCGTCTTCTGGCGACCAAACTGGCGACTAAAAAATTTAGTCGGGAAAACTAAAAAACCGACTTTTGGCGACTAAAAATTTAGTCGCCAAATGTGTTTTTTCTTGTAGTGAAAGAAACACAAAATATGAGCCAACTAAATACATTTTTAATTGAATATGAATAGGTTTCATTTTCCTGATGGCCAAGTAAACAGCATATCTCAAGCTAAAAAGCAATCACTCATATTTGCTAAATGGTATAGGAAATTATGAGCTTTTATTGATAATCACCATGTGCTTGGTGACAACCCTTCATCACTTTCATGTTTTTATACTTTTGCCTTTTCATCTCATTATATGCTTCACTCAATTGCTCAATGAATGAATGGACATTTTCTCTCTCACTCTCTAGTTTCATAGATGTTTATTAAAATAAATCAAGGGAAATGATCAGTAAGGCAGTTTATGATTCTACAATTCAAAATATACACAATTTAGCTTTCGATAACTTCAAAATCTTGTGGTTTACTGTGGTGTCCATTTAGCATTTTAGGCTATTTCTTTGATTATTTGCTTAATTGGAATCATGCTTTTTCATTTTTTACTCTTGAGTTATTTTTGCATCAACTTTCAGCTCCATTTCATCACTCGAAGTTTGTATAAGCAACTATTTCTAGGACTACCTTAATCTACTCAGCTTGAAGAAACCTCTGAAACATTAAATGTTCATGTTGAAACTCTCAACTAGAAGTGGGGCACTTGCTACAGACAGCTATGATTGGTCCTAAATCAACACTACTACACCATGCGGCTCTTGCATCATAAAATCAAAGTTCTTACACATGTTAACGCGGTCTTACATAACTCTAATTTTAAAAGTCTTGTATTAATTAATTATGTACTAATTACTTAATTAATGTACAAATATATATTGAATTATTACAACTTTTTGTAATGTGCATACCATAAACTACTTTTTTGCAGTCATTGTCTTCTTATTTTCTTTTTTGATCTTTTCTAATTTGAACAATTACTTTCTTAATAATTTATTTTAAATATGTATGATTCTTTTTTTTTAATTTAT